GTAATAAAACGTCCCTCACACGGCTCCGGGGGGTGAATAAAGGCCTAGTGTAGCGAATCCATGCATTTTTGTAAGATAAATATCCATGTTTCAAACGTAATAAACACTTTTTTTCTCACTTCCGCTGATTGTGGTACGCGGAAGTCGTACAGGCGGATGGCATAGGACGTAGGCGTCCTGCCGACCTTCACTTGCTCCAACTGATGACCATACATCTTAATATTTAATTTCGGATTATTTTTATTTTTGTTTTGTGCTTCTAATTCGTGAACGGCATTTTGTTTTGTCTCCGCGTTCATCACTAATCACGCAACACCGACGTCCTACGTCATCCGCCTGGACGGCTTCCGCGTACAACGTATCTTACAAAAAAGCATGGATTCGCTACAGGAGGCCTTTATTCACCCTCCGGAGCCGTGTGAGGGACGTTTTATTACGGATGCGCGCACTGTATTTCACGTCTTCTGAACTATTGGAACTATTTTGCACTGAATGAACCAAAATATCTCTGTTAGCCGTGTGCCCAGCAGAGGGCGCACACGACAAATTAAAACAATGAGCACATGGTAAATGTCAGTAGCTACTGCCCCCATGCAGCACTGTGAGCTATGTAGCCTATCTGCTGCATTCATTTACAATTGTATGATAAACATTCTTTAAAATCCACAGTAAATAACAAAAGTAAGATGCATGCTGTCATTAGCAGTGTTTAACCACACTTACTGGAACAAATCGAACATATAAGAAATTTGGATTCGGGTATTTTTTATTTTTTATTGGTTCTTTTATCGAACATTTAAAGGGGTCATATGATGCGATTTCAAGTTTTCCTTTCTCTTTGGAGTGTTACAAGCTGATTGTGCATAGATAAGATCCCTGAAGTTGCAAAGACTAAAGTCTCAAAACCAAAGAGATATTCTTTATCAAAGTTAAGACTCTGCCACGCCCCCCTAAAACGGCTAAGGAGGGGGCTTTGTAGAAAACGAAGCGTTTGAGAGAGGCGGGGCATAGAGGACCTACAATAATGTACAGTATTTGAAAAATAATGTGTTTTTTGAACATTAAAGCATGTCAACATATTCTGTTACACCAAATACACAAAATAATGATCTTTAAAAAAGCATCATATGACCCCTTTAAAACATTACTCTTGAGCAGTGCAAGGCTGAAAGTTGGAAACAGCATTTGC